CTTTCCCTCTCACTGCCTGTCTCTCTCTCTCTCTGGAGAGTACATGCACCTTAAGGCAAACACCTCTTAAAACAAATCAAAACAAAAATCTACCTTTTTATAAATGCTGAGCTCACATAATATATGTCCCAAGAGGAGACTGGAGAAGAGACTGCAGTGTGGCTATCCCCCTTTGGAGGGTAATTTCTCCTTTTCTCTGTCTCTCTGTCTCCGTCAGTGCAATCACTCTATGGAAAATACTAAGAAAAAGAAAGAAAATGGAACTGTAACAAAAGTTGTGCATGATCTGTTTGAAATAAAATGTATATTACTGAAATACTGAAAGACATTTTAAAAGTTTACTTAAAGGGAAAAATACTTTATGAGGACCTGATATGCTAGATCTTAAGTTTTAATGGAATAAAAAATTATGTAAATAAATAGCCGAAGTATTTATGAAGAAAGTAAGGGAGAGGTATTTAATCTACTAATTCTTAATACTTACTGGGCTGGCCCTGTTACTCAGTGGTTAATCCATTTGCATGAGGAGCTAGACTCCATGCGGTTGATCATGGCATGAATTCTAGTCCCATGGCTTAAAAAACATGCTGGTGCGTGCGTGCGTGTGTGTGTGTGTGTGTGTGTGTGTAGAAAGTGCTTGGGCTCAAAATTCTGATAAAATAGAGAAGCGGAGGATAAAGGGCTACAGTGTGCAGGCCCCATTGGGGGATGCTTTGTCTCCTCTCTCTCATGGGCAAGCAAATATGCTGTCAATGAAAAAAATATTATAAAACTATAAAAATGAGAATGCTATAGAATTGGTACAAGATTAAATAAAAAATATAAGCCCACAAAATGGAGGATTAATGTGCAGACTCAAGTACAGAAGGAAATTTTATACATGACATTATAGATTCTAAGGAAAGGAGAATTATTCAATGTGTGGTTTGGGAAAGTTGACTACTTAAATGGAATCTAGATCTCTATCTGATATTATTTCAAAAAATTCCAATGGGTTAGAGATTTAGATGTAAAAAGTCATATTTTTAAACATTTATAGAAAAATGGGATAATATGTTCAATTCTAGAGTTACAGAAGTGTTTCTCAAATAAGATACAAAAATGCTAACCCTAAAAGAAGCAGTTTATAAATTAGGCTACATTATACATTTTTAAATATACATACACACAAAAATAAGAAAATAAAGCAACAAATTATTAAAAAAAATTATCAATATAAAAAAAACATGAAGGATTTGGTATCAAGAAGTTATAAAGAACATCTGAAATGCAGAAAACCACAAATACCACAACAGAAAAAATGGGCAATATACCTCCTATTTAATTTTTTTAAGGTTTTGCCAGACGGTGTGTGTGCATTCCATAGAGAAACAGAAAAAGACAGTGAGAGAGAAAGTAAAAAATCTTTCCCCAGGAGAGATGGCCATGCCATAATCCCTTCTCCTCTATTGTTTTCCTGAGATTTTGGGCATGAATGCACATGCACCCAGAATGATTTTTCAATGATTTTTCAAGTCACAGATCCATGAACCATGGTTGGTCATAAGGGAATCCAGCACCTAAACCATCATGCCACCTGGTGGCCCACCATTTTATTTTTTGTAGAAAAGGAAATACAAAAGGCCAATGGACATAAGAGAATATATTCTTGTTAATAAGCTTGTTAGTAATCAGGGAAATGAAAATTATTACTGTAATGAAATATATTACATTTATATTGACAAAAATTAAAAATGTGAAGATACTCTGTATTGATAAGGATAGATTTAAAAAATAATACTTATACCCTATTGATGAAGGGAAAAATTAGTACACAAGTTTAGAAAATACTTTGATATATCTTATGAATTTGAGTATTAGTACACTAATGAAATAACAACTCTAATCTTAGAAATAGGCCCAAGCTCTTTCAATCACGTTCATGACTGAAAAATGCTGCAATCAATCTAAATATCCACAAGTTGAATATAAATATATAAACTATGCATGAAATACCATGAAAATGCATAGACTCAACTATTTACAAAGTTCAAAAGAAGCAAAACCCGAACGATGTCTTATTTAGGGACACACACATATATAATACAACTATTTCAAAAGTTAGAAGGAGTTGGCAAATACGAAATTCATGGTCAGCCATGTCTTGGGGAAAAGCAGAGAGATGGTCGAAGGACCGAGCACAGGCCACACAATAGTAGGGAGAATGTCCCAGCCCTTAAACCTGGTTGTGGGTTCATGACTACTCATTTTATTGTTTTGTTTTAAATTTGCATGTATGTTATTATCTATTTCTCATTGATGAAATATTAAATAATAAAACACTTCATGCCAAGCTTTTATGGCACTTGATATTAAGTAACTTGCAAATCAATACTAATTCTTGCTATTTTATAAAATTTACAGAGGCAGAGTCAAATGATGACAGCTTTAATCATTAATCAAGACAACTTAACAAAATGGTTAAATGGAAAATAAAAGGAAAATATTATTAAATATTATTTTAAATAAATATTTTAAATAATTCAATGAACAGTCATATAAGCTAAATCTATGGACAAAATAACTTACCTAACGTGTCACATTTCTCTCTAGCTCCACAAATGTCTTCCCTTAAAACAAAAGATTTTGAAACATGTTCAGAAAATACTTTTACAAAAACCAAAATCAAAGAAGCTTTAACTAGGACATGACTATTACTAAAAACTTACTTCCAAAGTCTAATTCCTACTAAGCTTTCAATAAATTTAAAACTTGAGTAATGTACCATTTGTGCACATCAATAAGCAACAGGTACGAGAGCAACATGACTGTTTTAAATTGTTGAAATTTTAACCAAGTACAGTAAAAAGCCTTCTAAGTGTATTTTTAATTTCTATGCTTTTATTTACATGTTACATTTCTTGATGATTCAATATCATCATGGCTTCCAATTAGTCTCTGTGGCAAAATAATGATGTTTGCAGAATTACCAAGCTGCCCAGATTTTTTTTCTTTTGAATTACTTAGTCCCTGAAAATTCAATTTAATAGTTCTTTTGTCTCTTTCTTTAAGGTCTCTTCTTATAGCCCCTTCTCTCTCCCATCTTCGATCTCTGATGCAGAGTCTACGATCAAGGGTACAACTGTGAACTATGATGAGTACTATTTATAAAAATAACTCAGTTCTAGTTCAGTTCTAAAAAGAAATAAGATATGTAGACTACATGTCTGTTATTTTACATGGGCCAATGGTTTTCATTGCCCAAGGGTTCGAGAAGCCCAAGGTTTCTCCGAGTTTGATCTCCAACTGAAGGATTTTTTTTCATTCATTTTTGTTTGAGATATTTTTGCTATAGGTCATGTGCCCTTGCCAGACAGAAAGGGAGAGAGAGCAACAGAAAGTGAGAAATCACCCCTCAGGATGGATGGCCATGCTCCAATCCCCTCTCCTCCATTCTCCTCTCAGGATTTTGCACACACGCACATGCACCAGGCATGTGTTTTAAGCCACCAGGTCTAGGACTCAAACCACGGTGGGCTATGTTGGAGTCCAGCAACATGACCATTACACCATCTGCTGGTCCTTGAAGGGTTTATTTTTTTGGTCAACCAACCAAAGAACAAACCTATAATTTATGCATTCTGGTAGCACCTGTGTTGCCAATATAAATATGTAAATTGATAATGTATAGTGGTGCTTGAGAAATGCTAATAATTTTATAATGAGAACCTAGTCTCATAGACATAGGTTTGAGAATAATTATAGCAAATGCAGTCTGGTAATAAGACATGTGTTGATCATCAAAACAAGAGACAGACAGATTTTTTAAAAGTATAAAATCCAAAAAGTGGCCAACCAAATAAATTCAGATGCTCCTCTCCCAATCAACTGAAAGTTCAAAATGGGAATGAAGCCTAGTCTTGGTTCTACAACTACTCTAATTATAAGATATAATTCCTAATTCTCTCATCCTGTCACTAATATAATAAGGAAATTATTTTGTTTACATCAAACCATTTCTTATCAACCTGCTATTGCTAATTTCCTAAGGAACCTGTATTCTGGTCTGAAAAATAGAAGGATATTTCTTTCAACAGTTTCTTTTGTAATTCAAGTTCTCATAGAACATGCCCATGTATTATTGGTAAAAAATTAAGGTAACAGGAACCATCGACCATCATATGGGAGAGAAAAGGTGGAGAACTGAAATTGAAAGGGCTATTTCTAAATCTACCTGGTGATAAGTATAGCAGTGTCATGGTGGGAAGGGTGAGCATCGTCAAGCACATTCTGAGTTTGTTGCCATAAACAAAAGTTGTGTAACGTGGTAGCTGCATTAAAACTGATGACTGGTCCTTCCTATAAAAAAAAAAAAAGAAAGAAAAATTCAATATTACTTCAAAACATCTGTCCTTTGTTCCTTCAAAACTTATCAGCATCCATACAATTTATCAAACAATTCTCATGAGCAAATGAGAGAGTGATATTATCTGTCTTTCATATATTTACTCACCAATATTATATCAATTCTAAAACATTATGATACAAAGTGAACTTAATTAGCTCTTCTCTATGTTTCTAGCCAATATCCAGGACAAAAAAAACTAACTTTGAAAAATTACTTTTTTTTTTTTTTTTTGCCATAGGGCACATGTGCTTACTGGAGAGACAGAGACAGACAGAGAGAAAGCAAGAAATCACCCCCCTGGGGGATGGCCATGCCACAGTCCCTTCTCTTCCATTCTCTTCTCTGGCTTTTGGGCACACACATGTGCCTGGCATGATTTCAAGCCACCAGGTCCGGAACCTGAACCATGGTTGGCCACATGGGAGTCCAGGACCTTAACCATTACACCACCTGCTGGCCCTGAAAAATTATCATATTTTAAATTCTTCAATATTAGTATTACAAAAGTGCCTTCTTGGATGTTTTCAACTTTAGGTTTTTAAGTTTTTTCAGTTCTGTTACTTCTGTTTAAATATTGTTGTCATTCCATTTTATTTCCATCACAATAGAAAAAGATAATCTTTCATATAAATTTTTTAAATGAATATTAAAAATATCCATCTAATAAAAGGTTTGTGCTCTATATAAATTCCTACTAAAAAATAGACTACACCTAAGATTACTTATTTTAGATCTGTTTCTTACCTGTTTGTTGTGAATTATGACTAATTTTACGATGGCTATGTTTATAAGATTTCCGATACTTGGGTCCTTATAAATTCCTGCAACCTGCAAATAAAAAATGTAGGATTAGATACCTAAAATGCATATTCCTTCTCAAAATAAAATGAAATTAATCCTGAAGCATCAATTCCTTAACCTAGCTACACATTGGAATCTTCTAGGGAACGTTTACAAATTATCCATACTCTGGCTATTTCTCTTAACCAGTAAGTCAGAATCTCTAGGGATGAGATACAGTCATCGGCATCATCTACAGTTCCCCAGCAGTTTAATGATTCCAGTGTAAAGCAAATTTTGAGAATCCACATCCTAAGCCTTACTACTGAGTTGGTCAATGGATTTGCTAATCTATAAAACCATACAGCTGGTTTTTATTTTATTATTTTTTTTAAAAGAATCTCAGGATCTATCCTGGATTACTGAGTCAGAATGTGTATTTTAACAAGATCCTCAAGGGATGTGAACACATGTTAGAGGGAGAAAATTACCACCCTGTATGATTCAGAAAGAAATTCACTTCATTCTGTGTCAAAATCCACATGAATACGACATTCCATAAAAATATGTCATGGACTCCCATGTAGCCAACTACGATTCGAGTCCTGGACCTGGTGGTTTAAACTCATGCCAGGTGTGTGTGCGTGAGTGCCCAAGATCCCGAGAGGAGAATGGAGGAGAAGGGATTGCGGTGTGGCCATCCCCCCAGGGTGATTTCTTACTTTCTGTCTCTGTCTCTCGCACCCTATAGCAAAAATATCTCTCCCCCCCAAAAAAAAAGATAAAAAAAAGTCAGTTCTACCTATCTTCTTTCTGGTAGTTTTATCTAGTCTTTTCTGCCATAGCTGTATATTTGCAATTCTGAATATGGTTATTTTTAATGTTGACTACTACCCGAATCCACAGGGACAAATTCATGTAGAATCAGATAAACAACCATAGCAAAGGTAACAAGTCTCACAATCTGACCCTCACTTCTCCAAGGACTGAGAATGCATCTGTGACACACTGAATGGTTCTGCATGTCTCAGTGCTCTCATTCACTGGGTCATAGCTTTTGGTGCTACCACAGAGGTTACGGTTGTAGTAGGAGGAGGGTCTTCTATGCCTAGGGGTGCACCCTTGCATAACTCCATCTAGATCTGAGTCACCAGGGTAATGAAAACTGCGTCTGAAGCCTCGATCACCTTCTGTGGCTACTACCACAGTCCAATACTGCAGTTGCTTCAGGGGGTACTACTTCTCTCATTTGTTTAATAAATAAATGTTTAGCATCTGCTCCTCGCTTGTTTGGTTAGATAGAGACGTCAAATAGGACATGGTTGCTGAACTTGGAAGACCTCAGTTTGCTAGAAGTAGCAGTACCAGAGCCCTCACTCCATTAGCCAAAGCTGCTTCAACGCAACGTATACTATGACTGCTGCCTGTGCCTCTTGTTCCCAAGGGACTACCACCAGAACCAGAGCCAAAAGTATCTCTGGAGTGCTGGCGCTGAGGCATCAGCACAGGCATGGAGACACATTCCAGCACATGTATTACTGTTTCAGCCATGCAGCAGCAAACACTCACAGGTTTGCCATCTTTGTCTACAGTGATGTCTTGGCTCTCATGGTAGAACTTTTTGGCAAGAATGGTAGTAGCCCTGGCAGTGTTAACGGTAAGTTATGACCCCAAGAGTCAGCTGATCGCTATTGTAAGCAGATCTGTTATCACTGCAGTATTACTCACTTTAAAATGGGAGATGTAGAAATGTATGACTGAATTTATAAATATTCATTTTACATGCAATTTTTACACATATATCTACTATAAAAAAAATCAAAGCATGTAGCCATATTTGTGACTTGAAAGTTACCCTTTGTTCCTGTGAGTTTAAAAATAGGTGTTCACACCAGGTGCATGTGCATGCAAACAACGAATAGAGAAGAAGAGATTACAGTGTGATCAACGCCCTGAGGGGTGCTTTCTCACTTTATCTCTCCCTCTGAAACCAAAGGATCTAAGAACACCGTCTCATTATTTCTTCCAATATTTAGTGAATATCTACTACCTACCAAACACAGTATTGGTTACTAGATATGTGAAGTACAGTAAGGCATGATATTTGTCCTTAAAAAACTCAGTCTTGGGAACCAGCAGTTAGCATAATGGCTATGTCACTGGACTCCCACGTAGTCGACCGTGGTTTGCGTCCCAGACCCGGTGGCTTAAAACTCACGCCGGGCGCGTGTGCGCACGTGCCCAAGATCCCGAGAGGAGAACGGAGGAGAAGGGATTGTGGCATGACATCCCCCCTGGGGGGTGATTTCTCGCTTTCTGTCTCTATCTCTCTCTCTACCTGTCTGGTGAGCGTACGTGACCTGTAGCGAAAAACCTCTCCAAAAAAAAAAAACAAAAAAAAACCCCTCAGTCTTCTGGAAGTAAAAGATACAATAAAAGAGGGTTCTATTTAAGTAATTCTTCACTCCTTGCCAAAAGAAAATCCCACAGACTGATATTTTGGTTTTACACCAAAATGATATGCTTCATTAAGCAATTAAGAATGTCATCAGGTGGACCAGCAGATGGCATAATGGTTATGTCACTGGACTCCCATGTAGTCGTCCACAGTTCAAGTCCCAGACCCAGAGGCTTAAAACACATCAGGTGCATGTGCGTGCATGCCCGAGATCCTGAGAGAATAGAGAAGGGATTGTGGCATGGCCGTCTTCTCTGGAGAGTGATTTCTCACTTTCTGTCTCTCTGTCCCTCTGGTGAGCACACACCCACAAAAACAAAAACAAAAACAAAAGAATGTCATCATGTTCATTTTCTAACTGTATGATGTACTTCCTATTGTTTTACTGAATTTTAAAATCTATGTACTAATATATACATATATGTACAAGCACACACACACACACACACACACACACACACACACACACACATACAGAGTATATATTGGGTTGTCAGAAAAGTCATGATGCATTTTTACATAGAAAAATAGAAAAAATACAAGACTTTTCCAATAACCTAAGATATACTTTTTACTACATTCAGACATTTAAAAGTGTTGCAATTGACCACGATTCAATAAGGTGGACTGTGATTCAGCAGTAAATAGACGCAGGCCTATTTGATACTGAAAGAAGTTTAGAATCAGAATGTACAATGTGTCCCTCTTAACCGTAACACTACCACCCCATATTAGATCACCATGATGGAAGGGTACTAGTTGCTACTACTACTAAATAATAATAAATCAGCATATAACAAATACATAAAATACTTACTGAAAGTTTCTTGGGTGTCTGCTGTATTCTAAATTTAAATGTATTAATTCATGTGATTTTCACAACAAATCCTATAAGAAATATACTATCATCCATTTTACAGATTAAAAAAAAAAAAAAACTAAGAGGGACCAGCAGTTAGTGTAATGGCTATGTCATTGGACTCCCAGATAGTTGACCACGGTTTGAGTACCGGACCCGGTGGCTTAAACTCACACAGGGCACGTGTGCATGCATGTCCAAGATCCCGAGAAGAGAATGGAGGAGAAGGGATTGTGGCGTGGCCATCCCCCTAGGGGGTGATTTCTCGTTCTCTGTCTCTCTGTCTCTCTCTGTTTTTCCAGCAAGTGCACACGCCCTATAAAAAAAACCTCTCAAAAAGAAAAAAAAATAAAAACTAAGATATAGAGAAATTAAGTAACACACTCAAGGTTAGGTGATAGATAATCAACAGAACCCAAATTCTATCCTAGGCAGTCTGCTTCTGGAGTACCAGCTACTTAACTTGATTTTATAAAATTTCAGGATTCTGCTCCAAGCCCTTCTCAGTGAGTTCTTGGTACAAAATCTACTTCAAAACCCTACTGCAACCCATTCCCTAATGCCAGATAGTGCCCTACTGTGACCACTTAGCCATGGCAGTGATAGAGTCCTCTGCAGTCAAGACCTGGATCTTAGATCTAGCTCTATCACAAGCCAGTCGTTTAGGCCTGGGAAGTGGACTTAGGTATTTTTGGTCTTACTATCCACAATCATGTTGAGGTACTTAGCACTGTCGGTCACAATACCCTTGCCTGCTGGATTAGTTTTAATCAGGTGCTACAGAAAGAGAGGTGTGGAGAATGTTTATTTTAGAGAACAAAATCATCCTACAGTTTGAGAAGTATGAAGTTAAAAAGAGTTAAGCAGGTACTTCAGAGACTTGACTAGGTGAACAGATACACAGCAAACCCATGAGGTAGAGGTAGTCTATGCAGCATTTCATGCCACCTTGGCCGTAGTTTTCTGTTCTTCCCCCACAAAGCACATCATAGGACTAATATTCCATCCCACAGTCTGCACCTTAGGAAATGCTAGGCCAGATTTCTAAACTATCATCCTATCCTATAAAACCACATAATATTTAAAAATATCACTGTAATCACTACATTCTAGTATTATGTATTATAATTTTATTGATAAGAGTATATTTATTCTTTAACTGTTAGTTTCTGTGGCATAAATAGCTCTGACTTCATTGTAGCTTTCATAAAATAGTGAACATTATGACTTAATTTTTCATGAAAGGTAAAGAAGAATCAGTAGGAATTACAGCAATAAAATCTTTACATAAGAAAAATTCTAGGCATGATATACTTTATGCAAACCATGAAACAAGTTACTATCACCATTAACTCATCACCCATTTTGAAAATAAAATCTACATAGCACTTCAGAAAATGCTCATATATTGTATGTTTATAGGTCACTTTCATGAAGAAGTACAAAGTCATCTACAAAACCTGATTTTAAGCAAGTAAAGAAATTTTGTTTACAAACAGCACTACTCTTTACTTGATTAGAAAGATCTTTCAGTTTTAAATTGAAAAGGATGGCATTCCACATATACACAAAGTGAATATGTACAAAAAGTTAAGCATAGGGACCAGCAGTTAGTGTAATGGCTATGTTACTAGACTCCCACGTAGTCGACCATGGTTCAAGTCCCAGACCCAGTGGCCTGAACTCATGCTGGGCGCGTCTGCGTGCATGCCCAAGATCCTGAGAGGAGATCTGGTGAGTGCACGTGCCCTATAGCCAAAACCTCTCCAAAAAAAAAAATGAAGCATAAGTAGAGCACAGAGATGAAGAAAGAAAAAGTTACATGAATATTTATACCTAAAGTATGAAAGTACAGTTGTCATTAGTTTTTATTTGAATGTGCTTGAAATTTTCCCATCCTGAATAACATCAGCAAAAGCAAGCCAATAAATCAAAAGCAATGATATAAATCAATGTACCGCAAGTGAGGGTTTTTAGTTGATAAATGCCTCTAATAATAGTAATTGTTTTAATAAGTAAGGCTAATTTTTTTTTAAACAGGCTTTTGCCTTAACGTGCGTGTGCTCACTGGAGAGTGTGACACAGTGAAGGGAAAGTGAGAAATCGCCTCCCTTCAGAGAGGATGGCCACACCACAAGCCCTTCTCCTCCATTTTCTTCCAGGGATCTTGGGGACACATACACATGTGCCCAGCGTGATTTTCAAGCATCTGGGTCCAGGCCTCTAACTGCAGCCGGCCATATTGGAGTCCAGTGACATAACTGCTAAATTTACATTTTTAAATCTGTAAGAGGGTGAATACTATAAAGTGTAACCTTTATAAGCAATAGAGTGTAGAGATTTCTGGTATGTGGTAAATATTTGAGGTTTTTTTTAAAGAAGTCATTAAGTATCAAAATAAACACACTGAAGACCCTAATTTACATATATTTTGGTAGAATAATAATGCTCATGTAAATGCCATTTCAACCTGATGCCATTTAAATTCCCTATGAATAAGAGCTTTATAATGGCAGATAATTGACTGTCTCTGGTCATTTAACACAAATACTTATTTTATTAGATATATTATATCATGATGATGTTCATCCCCACTAATCTTAATTTCAATTCCAGAAACCCTTTGAATATAGCTCATTAAGTTAGTTTTACAGCGTAATAAAGCACTTTATTAAGTGAACTAAATCACACTCATTTCAGTATCACTGTTCTCAGATACTTTGTTAAACTGTTGAAAAGAAAGAAAACATTTACAGAGATAGCTCAATTATTTCTTCATCAAGGATAAGAGTAGATAATCCTCTCTGTAAATTGTGTATATAACCCATATTTTCAGTGCTAAAAGCAGTCAGCTATTTTCCAGATTATTTCTGTTAAGTAACACACAAAGCTTTTTCATTACTTTGGATTTCTCTTTAGAAGCCTTGCTGTCATATTCCAAGTCTAAATCAAATTTTCTTGTCTTTTTCTTAAATAACTATAATTAGACTGTTATCAATAATCCAAGTTGGTTGTTTGAATACATGCAGTCAGTGCCTTCTAAAAAGATTAGGAAAAAATATGCAAAACAAATGGCTCCTTCCTCAATTGGAAACATCTGTGGATACTTATGTGGCGACAGCACTCCTGTTATCGCCTTAGAGCAATTTTAAAAATAACTGAGATAAAACAAACTGGTCTAGATCTGATGACCTCTGCCTAATGTGACCAACTGCTCCAGATTGCCCAGAACTGATTTCTAAGGACGTGAGACTTCTAATACTGAAACTAAGAAAGTCCCAAGCCAGGAGACTCTGTCGCTGTCTTTAGTTTCCTTCCACCTCTAACTTTGTTTATTCCCATGAATGGAGCTGTGATAACACCTACATTTTTACTAATAAAATACATGTACAGAACTACAAGCCTGACAACTCCCCTGGATCTATGTTTGAATATTCTTTCGGTAAGTGGGAAGGAAAGACTGAAGAAATCCCGTAAGCCAGGTATTTACATGTTATCTGAAAAGTGGCTTCTGAGGAGAAAAGAAAGCATATACTAAACCCCAATTACCTTTCAAAAGAGAGAGGTACCCTCTTGGATTTCCCTCCCGCACCATCTATATATATGGAATGTTCCCCTCTTCCTCAACCCGGCTGCATCTGTCTCCCTGTGAACAAAAGCTTAACGCAAACCAGCTGACTGCATCTACAGAAGTCCCCTCTTCCACTGAGGTCTGTGCTCTTCTCAGTGGGACAAATCTAGGCCATGGTTAAGCAATCTCAGAAGCAGATTTGCTTTCCATGAATTTGTAAGGTTTGCTTTATCTTAAATGTGCTCGGCTTTAAACCTCCCATGAACAACTGCGGTTATCTCAAGGTGTGCCACGATAGGTTCTTCATAGTGATTGTTGATTTTGATTATTTTTGTTGGTTGAAAAGACTTGGCCAGACACATCTACAGTACATTGTAAAAATTGTCCTTAGCTAGAAGGAAGATCATTTATTTTGTTGATTTTTTTTTCATAAAATAATGAAACGTTTCTGAAGGTAGTGACATCATCAAAAATGCATGATAGCTATTCCAAAATTACTCTTGAAAAATTACTCTGGAATTTATTTACTTCTAGTCAGTAAACTTTCAAAACATCAATATCAGGTATCTGTCATTTATTATGCATAAAACCTAATGTATTTATAAAATCTCATATTTTCTTTAAGAAAATTGAAAGGAGAGAAATACTTAATGATATATTCTTTAATCATTTTAAATTAAAAAGTTTATCTGAGTGTTCCATATAATTGATACAATTTCCTACATATTAATTGACAACCTTCATGTCATGGTTGTCATTAAAATCCCTTCATAGGGAGAAGGGATTGTGGCATGGCCATCCCCCCGGGGGGTGATTTCTCACTTTCTCTCTGTCTCTCTCTGTCTTTCTGGTGAGTGCACGCATCCTATAGCAAAAACCTCTCCAAAAAAAAAAAAAACCTTCATAGTCAATATGCCACATCCACAGCTAGATAATTACTTTGGAATTAGAAGTTAAAAAAAATCAGAATAAATTTTCACCCATAGTTCTGTTGTTGATTTTTTAAATTCAAACAAAATAAATGTCTATATTATGCAATTTTAGAAGATAATTTTGTATCACCTATTTTTTGTTTACCATATGCACTATACTCAGAAAATAACAATACTTTTACTTTAACCACTTATTCATTCTTTTTTTAAATAACTATTTATCGAGCACTCAACATTGTACCAAATACTATATTTAGGCAACAAAAACCATAGTATAATCCTAAGAATTTAAGGTAAATGTCATACATAAGGAAAATAACAGGATCCTAAATTCAAGTAACAGTGAATTTAACAGGATTTCTAGCTAAGGAAAATTTACAATGTACTAGTACTATAGATGTGTCTGGCCAAGGACATCTGAATTCCCTGTATATGAATAGAGGTACTTGCAGCTATGAGCTAGGTTTCAAATACCTTGAATCTGTATAAATAGTGGACTACATATTTTACCAACTAAACCATGATACTTCTGATTGTGAAAGGGGGTATATTTAATCATGGCTTCAAAATAAGAGGCTTAAATCCAGGAATACCCCAGGAAGTATGATGTGTGTGTGTGTGTGTGTGTGTGAAGACATGTATGCATAAATATGACCCAGGCTGCTGTCACTAACAGAACTGGTGCTCCTAAGAAGCACAGAACTCTATTCTGTGGGTACTGACACCACCACTTATTTGACAGAGACAAGCTTCTGTGATCTTCTATTCCAAATCTGCTGAGATGACTCTGTTAGTAGCAGCCTATCCCTTTTTCTTCATACCTACATTTCTAAGTTTGAAGATAATTTGTTCCAATTTCTGATTTCAAGAATGTACTAACAGTTAAAATAGTATAAAAATTAGTACCTCCAGTAGTTAAGATAATGCAAAAAATAGGGTGAGGTTTTAAAATCCAGATTTAAAGAAAAGACCAATACAACTAGGAATATGGGCAGAGCCACTCATGTGATGAAGTAAAGAATAACTTTAGACTTCTCTGTCAAGTGGTCTCAGAGTTCATTTTCTTTTATTTATTTATTTATTTTTTAGGTTTTTGCTATAGGACATGTACGCTTGCTAGAGAGAGACTGAGAGAGAAAGTGAACAATCACTTCCTAGCAGGGATGGCCATACCACAATCCTTTCTTCTCCATTCTCCTCCTGGGATTTTGGACACACGTGCAGATATGCCAGGTGTGATTTCAAGCCACCAGGTCCAAGACTCCATCTGTGGTCAGCCTTGTGGAAATCCAGTGCCTTACCCACCACGCCACTTGCTGGCACTGGTTTCAGAGATTTTTTTTAAGTGTTTTAGAAAGTTGTTCAAGTAACAGAATGGAATACTTGATATTCTTCTGTCTAAACTTAATTTTAATGAAAAATTATTTTTAGATTATGCCTAGATAAAATATACTTACATCAGAAGTTTAGAAAAGCATGTGTTAAGTTAAATGTGAAAAAAAAATTTGAGTTAAACATTAGAAAATATAGAAGTCACATTAAGCTTACTTACAATTGACATTAGAGTTAATATATAGTGCTGCAAATTCTGCCCATGATAATGAACCATTTTAGCATCAGCTGTAACCATAACTTCCACGTATCTTGGGTATGATATAAATCGTTTATTCCTGGAATGTAATTGACTTCTTTCATCTTCCCTTGTTACATTTTTTGAAGGGTATCCTAAAACTATTTCCTTCTTTACATTAAGATCTTCATTCATGTCGCTGTGGTTATGAAAGGGTAAAGCCATTTTCTTTATTTGATTTTCTGGTGGGGGAAACATAATAGAGAGTCATTAAATTGGATGTGACTAAAAATATTGCACAAAATTGAATAACCAAAAGTGCTTAATACTTACGCATCTGCTTCCAATATGAAACAATAAAAGGACAAAGAGAAATTATTATTTAGAACATGTATACAGCACTATTATGAGCATTAGCATTTGCAGTAATAAAAAGTTTGCAAAATGTTCATTTTCATAGAGTGTACTAACAAAACTATATCCAAGTCTTACTGTAACAGGTATGACTACTGAAAAATCTCATTACACAGTAACCACCTTTTTGTAGAGTGAAACATAAAGTATAGAACAAAACAAACTTTTGCTATCCAATGTGTGAAAAGATTGAAGAAACAGGGAAAATTAAGCCATGTAACCATAGATGATAATTCAAAATCAGAAAGTCAAATATTTATAGAGCTTGATATCATTGTATAAACTTGTAGAACCCGATTGCTTTCATGTTTGCTTATATATAAAAATGATTGACCATCCTAGATTCATTACAGGAACTACTTTTAAGTTTGATGGGTAAGAAATCTATGCATTTAAATTCTTTATGACTTGGACTGATTAAAAAAAAAAATCATAGGCAGCCTGAGTGCTTGTCCTACTTCTTTCTTCATTTTGATCCTTTTTTTTCTTCTTCCTTCTTTTTCTCTATTAATTTTTCTACCAATTGTTTGGTGATAATACTTACAATAGAAAAATGGACCAAAAGTATCAGGTGAGAATAAATAAAAGAGAGAAGGACCTGGATAATTCATAAGTCAAATAATTAATACCAAAATAATCAATAAGCAAGTGTAAGATTTCCATCATAAGGTTGACACATAAATACAAAAAGTGTAATTCTTACTTTTAAAAAAACTCATTTTATTTTAAATATAAATGCAATCCTGTGGTTGTAAGAAAGAAACTGGGTCCTTAATCACTGTTTCCACTTAAACATTAAGTCCTCCAACATTAAGTTCCACTTAATTTAATGTTAAGTTTCCTTAAATATTAAGCGCTCCCCAGGGGGAATGGTCTTGCTCAATCCCCTCTCTCCATCCCTCCCTCCTTTCAAGGATGGAACTAAGCCTGCCTAGCTTAGTGTTTTCTTTGTTTTATTTTGTTGTTTTTAAGGTTTTTGCCATAGGGCTCATGAGTTTTTGAAGTCCACAGTCTGGACAAAGCAGTTGGCCAAGTGGGATCTAGCCTCTCTAACCACCACACCACTAACTGGCCTAGAATTTCTTTTTCTACATTATTAAATCATCTAGTCTTTCATATGACTATGCTGTGAAGTTTTGAAATTTATGCCAGTGGTATGTTCTGAAAGTTTGGTAAACTAAGTACACAGTCCTAAAACTGTTTGCTACCATCCATTTCCTAGAATGACTCAACCATGAACAAATAAATGACCAATTAATTATTGAACCCTGGAAGATCCCAGATGTACCCAACATATGCAAACTTAGAGTTATGAGGAAAAACATAAATATTCATGTTTTGATTTGTTTGTTTTCCCATTTCATTTATTCAAAATAAACTTTATGTCAGGAAATGTTCAGTAAGTGAGGTATAAACAGTACCTCGCAAAGCTTACATTCTAGTGGGAAGAGACAAAAAAAAATACGTTATTTGTGGATGCAATTGGAAGTACATGTTCCAACAACAATTTAATTAAAGAAACAAACAAACAAAAAAAGTATTTCTACCTACTGTGATGACTAAAATTTAAAAAATTGATAATCTCAAGTACTATGGTTTAAATGTGTCTCCCAAAAATTCATGTGTTAAAATTTGGTTGCTGTTGTGATGGTATTAAGAGAGTGGAACTCAATCTCACCATGGTGTTAAGTGGAGAAACCTTTCAGAGGGAATTAGGATCAGGTGGGCCCCTATGATTGAATACCGGTGGCTCTTTAGGGAAGGAGAGACACCAAGAGAAACAGTGCTGCCCTCTTGCCATGTGATGCCCTGTGCTGCCTTGGGATTCTGCAGAGTCCTCACCAGCAAGAAATCCCTCACTAGAGATGGCCCCTTAAGCTAAGACTTCCAAAACTGTGAGCTGAATAAATCTTTATTCTTTATAAATTACCTAGTCTGTAATATTCAGTTATAGCAATAGAAAAATGAATTAAAACAAGTGTTAATACACTCAGTTTGAAAAACTATCTGGCAATGTCTATGTTAGACAAACATCTACGTTATGACACTATAATTCCACTACTAGGTATTTCCTTACAAGAAAGAAAACATGTCTATGAAAAGGCTCATACAAAAATGTTCATAGCAAAACAGAAAGAGGTGTGTGTGTGTGTGTGTGTG